CAGTTAAATGAGGTCATAAAGGTGGGACCCTGATCTGATAGGATTAGTGGCCTTGTAAGACAAGACATCAGAGCTCTCTCTCTTCATTCACACACAACAAAGTGATCATATGAATACACTGCAAGATGGTGGCCACCTACAAGCCAAGAGAAAAGGCCTCAGAATAAAACCCACCTTGCCAGACTCTTAATCTTGGACGTTCCAGCCTCCAGAATAGTAAGGAAATAATTTTCTGTTTGAGACTCCCAGATTGTGGCAGCCCAGGCAGAAGTAAAGGAAGGAAGGAAGAGTATCCAGATTGGAAAGGAAAATGACTTTTCTTCACAGATGACATGATCCAGTTCAAAAGGTTGTAGGATACAAGATCAATATATAAAAAATTAATTCTATTTCTATATTATGGAAACAATACAAAAAGTAATTCAATTCATAACATTAATTTCACAAAAGAAGTGCAAGACTTGTACACTGAGAACTACAGAAATTGCTGAGGAAAACTGAAGACCTAAATAACAGAGACATTCCATGTTCATAAATTGGCGACCCCAAAATTGTTAAGTTGGCAGTTTTTCCCAAATCGATCTATAGATTCAATAAAGTCCCTATGAAATTCCTACAGAATTTGTTACAGAAATCGGCAAGCTGATCATAAAATACATGTGGAAATGCAAAGGCCCCAAATAGTCAAAGCACTTTTGAAAAAGAACAACGTTAAAGGACATACACAACCTAATTAACTATAAGTCATCAAGACAATGTGGTGCTGGCACATGCAGAGGCATGTAAGTTAATGGAACATAGTTTAGAACACAGATACAAACTCTTAGATTTATGGTCAATTCTTGATAAAGCTGCTAAGTCAGTTCAATGGGGGAATAGCTAGTTTTTGCAAGAAATGATGTGAGGACATCTGGATATCCATATGCAAAAAGATTAATTTAGACCCTTACACTGGACTTAAAAAAAATGGTTCACAGATTTAAATGTGAGAGCTAAGAGTAAGAAAAAGGATATGAAATGCTCTTTGTAAGTTTAGGCAGAGTCCTTAGCTATCACTCCAAAAGCATGATGAAAGAACAAATTGTAATTTATCAAAATTAAGAACTTTTATACTTCAAAAGTCTTTTCTTACACCGGTAAGAAAAAAAAGACAAGCCACTTATATGGAGAAAATATTTGCAAATCATATTTCTCATTAAGTACTTGTATCAAGAATATATAACAACTCAACAATAAAAAGACAACTTGATTTAAAAATGGATAAATAGTACACCCAGAGGGCCAGGCGTGGTGGCTCATAACTGTAATCCCAGCACTTCAGAAAGCCAAGGTGGGAGGATTGCTGGACCCCAAGGAGTTCACGACCAGCCTGGGTAACACAGTAAGACCCTGTCTTAATTTAAAATAAGAAATTAACTTAAAAAGATACAAACATATATTATACCTAAGAAGCTTTATGAATTCCTAATAAGTACATTAAGTTATATAACATCATCTGTCATTATACAATGCAAATTAAAATCATAAGATACCATTACACACTAGAATGGCTATAATCAAAAGGACTGGCAAGAAGTGTTTATGAATGTGGAGAAACTGGAACCCTCATGCATTGCTGGTAGGGATGTAAGATTGTGCAATTACACTGTAAAAACTGCTTTTCTTACAATGTAATTACCTTTTTCTTTCTTTTTTTTTTTTTGAGATGGAATCTCGCTCTATTGCCCAGGCTGGAGTGCAGTGGCTTGATCCCAGCTCACTGCAATCCATGCCTCTCAGGTTCAAGCGATTCTCCTGCCTCACTCTCCCAAGTAGCTGGGACTACAGGCATGTGCCACCACATCTGGCTAATTTTTTTTTTGGTATTTTAACAGATGGGGTTTCACCGTGTTAGCCAGGATGGTGTCAAACTCCTAACCTCATGATCTGCCCACCTCAGCCTCCCAAAGTGCTGGGATTACAGGTGTGAGCCACTGTGCCCAGCCACAAAGTAATTTATTTCTTTTCTTTTTTGTAGATACGGGGTTTCACCATGTTGGTTAGGCTGGTCTTGAACTCCCTATCTCAGGTGATCCACCTGACTTGGCCTCCCAAAGTACTGGGATTATAGGTGTGAGCCACCGCACCTGGCCCACAATGTAACTCCTTAAAATCATAAATATAAATTTACCAATATGACCCAGCAGTTCTACTCCTAAGTTCCACCCAAGAGAAATAAAAACATTTTCACATAATGATTTGTATGCAGATGTTCATAGGAGCAATATTTATCATAGCCCCAAGCAAGAAATAATAGTAGTTCCAAAAAGTGGTGAATGAATAAATGTGATATATCAATTCAATAGAATACTTTTCAGCAATAAAAAAGGAACACAATGCTGATATAATCAGGAACATGGATGAACCTCAGGAACTTTATGCTCAGTGAAAGAAGCCAGACACAAAAGTTTACATAATTATATGGTTCCACTTACCTGAAATATTGAGACAAGGCAAATCTATAGAGACAGAAGGCATATCGGTGGTTATGTGGGACTAAGAATGGAGCAGAGATTGAGTGTAAACTAGCATGATGATACTTTCTGTGGGAACAGAAATGTTCTAAAACTGGATTGTGATGATGGTGTTATAACTACATTTACTAAAAACTATTGATTTATATATACTTACAATGGATGAATTTTATGGTATGAAAATTCTATCTCAATACAGTTATAAAAATGTGAAAAATTATGGTTGGGTTTCAATTATTATAGTATACATAGGAAATTTAAAGCCATTTTAAAGTAGCCATATCTAAATAATAGGAATGTGATTTTTAAAAAGATATTTACAAGTGATTTCAGCATATTTACAAGAGATGATTTACATATTTACAAGTATAAATTATATACTACGATATTATAAAATTGTCCATATTATTGCAAAATCTTTAAAAACTTGTGGCTGGGTGTGGTGGCTCACACCTGTAATCCTAGCTCTTTGGGAGGCTGAGGTAGGTGGATTACTTGAGGTCAGGAGTTCTAGACCAGCCTGGGCAACATGGCGAAACTCTGTATTTACTAAAAATATAAAAATTAGCCAGGCATGGTGGTGTGTGCCTGTAATCCCAGCTGCTTGGAAGGCTGAGGCAGGAGAATTGCTTGAGCCTGGGAGGCAGATACTATAGTGAGCCGAGATCACACCACTACACTCCAGCCTGGCAACAGAGCAAGACTGTCTTAAAAATAAAAATAAATTTAAAATGCTTCCTTGTTAAGTGGTATTAACAAAATTATATTAACCCATGAAATGAATATATATTCTTGTACATATCTAAATTCATTGTAAGGTAGGATAAGGAAGACTGTAAATACTCTCAACATTGTTTGACTTTTTTTTTTGAGACATGGTCTCACTCTGTCACTCTGAGTGCTGGAGTGCAGCGGCACGATCTCAGCTTACTGGAACCTCCACCTCCTGGGTTCATGTGATTCTCCTGCTTCAGCCTCCTGAGTAGCTGGGATTACAGGTGCACGCCACCACACCTAGCTAATTTTTGTATTTTGTGTAGAGATGGGAGTTTTGCCATGTTGGTCAGGCTGCTTTTAAATTACTAGCCTCAAGGGATCTGCCTGCCTCAGCCTCCCAAAGTGCTGGGATTAGAAGCATGAGCTACTGTGCCCCACATTGAGACAGGGTTTCGCTCTGCCATCCAGGGGATGTCATGGCATAATCTTGGCTCACCATGTTGCCCAGACTGGTCTCAAACTCCTAAGCATAAGCAACCTACCCACCTCGGCCTCCCAAAGTGCTATAGTATATATATTTATTAAACAAGAGAAATTAAAGTGAATGAAATAGCCAACTTGAGAAGATAGGAAAAGGGAGAAAGGTGTAAGTTTTAAAATATAATAAAAATAAAAGCTGAAGTTAATGAATTAGAAAAACAGAAAAAGCAGAATTGATAAATCTAAGAACTGGGTCTTTTGAAAAAGCTAAAAAGCTGAACACTAATGGAAAAAACAGCCAGGCACAGTGACTCACACCTGTAATCCCAATACTTTGGGAGGCAGGAGAATCCCTTGAGCCTAGGAGCTGGAGACAAGCCTGGGCAGTAAAGCAAGACCCAATCTCTACAAAATAAATAAACAAACAAATAACAATTAAAATAAAAAAAATTAACCAGGTGTGGTGGCGTACGCCTGCCTACTCAGGAGGCCAAACCTGGAGGACGGCTTGAGTCCAGAAGTTGGAGGCTGCTGTGATCCGTGATCAGGTCACTGTACGCTAGCCTGGGCCATGGAGTGAGACCCCGACTCAAACAATAAAAAGAAAAGAAAAAATGTCCGTTTGTTGGTTTTCACAAACAATGCACACATATAAAGCTTACAAACTTCTAGGAGACTTTGTTTTTAAACTGGAGAATTGGGATGGTAGGGCCTTCACACAGACTATGGGAAGACAACTGCAAGTAATACCACAGATGTTTGTGTTTCCATGTTTTTTTGGTTGAGGGTGAGGGAGATTCTTCTTGCCCATTCAAGCCACACAGCACCATCCTCCACCCCATCACCAGCTTCTCAGTCTCCCATTCTCTCCCTCTGTCATGCAGATTAGTTTGTGTCCTATGTTGCTTGGACATCTTATGACACTTGTGTCTTGACAGCCTAACCAAGATGTTACACACACACACACACACACACACACACACGTACGTGCTACAGTTCTTTCTCTACAATGAACTCTGGGCCCATGGTAAAGGTAACACACCTAATAGCATTCCTTCTCACCTTTCAGGAAGGCCAAGGTTATCTAGGACTGGGAGTTAAGGTTTCTGACATGGCTCAGCCCCACATTCTGCACTTCTTGCCCATCCAGCTGGGTAGCCCAAGGCCAGGAGTGTAGGCATGGACCAGAGGCAGCTGCCCCACTCAGGAATATGAGTGTGCCTCTCAGTAAGTGCCTGGAGTGCCCAGGTGGGGTTTGGGAGCCCTGAGTCAGAGAGGAGGGCTGCCCACCTGGAGGAAGCTGTGCTTTTTGTCTTTGTTCTTCAGCAGCATGGCACTCCGCCACTGCAGGTACTTCTCCTGGTGGGCATGGATCTCTAAGGTGAGGGTGGAGTTCCGACCACTGTAGTCCTCAAGATTGGGGGTGGGCTGAGGTGGTAGGGTAAACAGTTTCTCATCTGTGAGTTCTTCTTGCGAAAGGGGCATCCCAAACTCTTGGCTCAAGTCTTTGATCATAGCAGAGGAGGGCAGCAGGTCTCTCACTGTCACGTCCCGGAGGGTGGTGCTGTTATGGCAGATGTCGTGGATCCTGGAACAAAGAACCATCATGCCACTGAGCCTCTACCATGCAAGACAGGTGTAATCATCCCATCCTACAGCAGGAAATGAACGCTCAGAGGCTGTCTAGCTGGTCCCAGGTCCTGGAGCTTGTGACTAGAGAGCTCAGATTCCAGTCTGCTGAGTCTGGGCTCCTGGCAAAAGCCTCCTTCTCCATCTTCTCCCCAGCCCCCAGAAGATGAAGCCTCCCACGGTTTGCTCTGAGTGCTCCTCTGTTCCTGTGGCCTTAGCCGTACCTCCCCTCTACCTACACACCCTATCGGGGCACAGTGCTACCGGCTGCCCATCAGGGGTGTGGAGCACAGAGACTTCCGCACTGGGAGCATCATACACAGAGCCTCATGGGGCTGGCTGTTAATAGAGGAGGAGGAGGAGGCTAGAGAGAGTCCTCAGCAAAGCTCAGGGACTGAACGGCCGGCCCACTCTTCAGCCCCAAGGCCTCCTCTTTGGTTCCCTCTGCCATGGCCTGTGCAGTGGGCATTGGGTCCAGAACCCATGCTCAGGTATGCCTGCTGACTGCTCACTGTCTCAGCTGCCTCCGAAGTCCACTGTACAGTAGGTGCTTATCATAACTCTCACTGTCCCAGTGACCCTGGCCCAACCTTAACCTTTCTGAATTTGGCTTTCTCACCTTTTAGATAGAAATAAAGCCACATGGATGCAGCTACCTTGGAGGCAGTAAGCACTTTCTAAAAAGTGTTCTTCTCTTTCCTTCATAGAACCCTCAGCTGCCTTCTGTTGCCTACCAGGCAGGACCAGGGCTGGCCTCCTCCCAAATGCTGTGGCACTGTCCCACATGCCAAAACTGAGGGCTATGGAATTAAAGATTAGTCCTGACCAAGTTCTTTCTCCTTCCTATCTCTCCAGCTTCTTTCTCCTCCATTAATACATCTAGTGAGTGCTCGCTCAGGCCAGACCTGTTGTTGGCTCTAAAAATACGAAGATAGGGTTTACACTTCTGCCCCATCCAGCAGCGAGTGAACTATCTACCTGCTGAAAATGCTCCAGCCCTTCCTCAACAGCAGCCTTTCCTGCCCTGGGGAAAGAAGCAGCCCCCTCCTTCATGCCCCCACTTGGTCCCAGGGCACCCCACTGCCCATGTTCTTTATGTCATCTCTGCTTCTGAACTGTGGCCTCCTGAGAGTGGGGACTGGTATGCCCACAGCCCTCCTAGAGCCAGTGTGGGCCAGCAGCTGCTCGCTGAGGGAATGGCGAGACCCTGGCACAGGCAGGGATAGCCTCTCCAGCACGAGCCAGGCGGCATTGCAGCTCTGACACTTGGAGGCCCATAGCCAGGGGGCAGAGGCAGGCCAGTTGGGCGGAAGCAGCTCCCGGCAAAGGTGAGTAGGATCCAAGAGCCAGACCTTTGGAACTGGGGTTGGAAGGAATGGTGTTGGGGAGGGAGGGTTCAGGAAGCAGAAGAAAGAAAAAGCATCAGGCAGTGGGCGAGAGCCACACTGGCCTGGTGGGCCTGGCTATTTGAGTCCTGCATCGGTTCCATTGTTTTCCCCAATTCTCACTTGGAAAATGTTCTGTTTTTGTTTTTTTGACATGGGATTTCACTCTCATTGCCCAGGCTGGAGTGCAATGATGCTATCTCGGCCCACCACATCCTCTGACTCCCAGGTTAAATCGATTCTCCTGCCTCAGCCTCCTGAGTAACTAGGATTACAGATATGTGCCACCACACCCAGCTAATTTCGTATTTTTAGTAGAGACGGGATTTCTTTATGTTGGTCAGGCTGGTCTCAAATTCCTGAACTTAGGTGATCTTCCTGAACCCGTCTTGGCCTCCCAAAGTGCTGGAATTACAGGCATGAGCCACTGCACCCAGCCTGTTTTTGGTTTTTTGTTTTTTTGAGATGGACATCTCATTTTGTCGCCCAGGCTGGAGTGCAGTGGCTCGATCTCAGTTCACTGCAACATCTGCCTCCCAGGTTCAAGTGATTCTCCTGTCTCAGGCTCCCAAGTAGCTGAGATTATAGGCGTGAGCCACTACTCCTGGCTAATTTTTGTATTTTTAGTAGAGACAGGGTCTCTAATCCCAAAGTGCTGGGATCATAGGAGTGAGCCACCGTGCCAGGCCTTTAGTTTTGAGACTGAGTCTTGCTCTCTTGCCCAGGCTGGAGTGCAGTGGTGCAATCTTGGCTCACCGCAACCTCTGTCTCGACCTCAGTCCTCCCACCTCGGCCTCCCCAGTAGCTGGGACCACAGGCACATGCCACCATGCCCAGCTAGTTTTTGTATTTTTAGTAGAGATGGGGACTCACTAGGTTGTCCAGGCTGGTTTCAAACTCCTGGGCTCAAGCCATCCTCCCACTTCAGGCTCCCAAAATGCTGGTGCCTGGCCCACACCTGGCTAATTCTTAAAAAATTTCTGTGGAGATGAGGTCTCTGTTGCCCAGCTTAGAAAATGGGTCTTTTTTCTTCTTTCTTCTTTTTTTCCAACAGATCAGAAATAGAAAATGGGTCTTAACCAGCCACTCCCTCTTTAGGCAATTGATTCTAGGACATGTCCCAAGAGCAGCAGACAAGACAGAGTCACAGCATCTGGGCAAACTGTCCCCTCCCCCCCACTGTCTGTTGGGGCCACTAACTAGTTGTTGGATGTCCCAGCTCACTTGTTTGGGCACAGAATGCTAAGAAGTGTCCCTCCCGGTGGGCGCAGGACCCCATGCGGGCTGCCACGCCCACCTGGCCAGTGCCTGGAAGACCTGCCTCCACTTCACGTCTCGCAGGAAGAGCACCGCCTGCTGCATCAGCAGCTCCGTGGGCTGGAAGAGGTGCACATGGTACAGGATGGCCTCCAGGTCCCCATAGAGCCGGCTGTGGAACAGCAGCTGTGAGTTGTACAGCACCTTGTATTTCCCGTGTTCTGACCTGGGAATCCTGAAGAGACAGAAGGCCAAGGGCCAGAGTTAACTTGTATGCCAGCTTCCTGGGACACTTTGGTGGGGGTGCTCTGTCAGGTACAGCTTTTATGTTGTTTAAAACAAGCCCAGGGAGGTGGAGGCTGCAGCGAGCCCTGATGGCACCACTGCACTCCAGCCTGGCAACAGAGTGAGACCCTGTCTCAAAAGAGCAGGTTGGTAATGAAGACTATTCTAAGATAAAAAATAACTGAAACTTAAAAGTATAAAAAATTAACTAAAAAAAAAGAAAAAACAAAAACAAAAGAAATGTATTGGTGATGCCTACCCCCTGATAGACACAACATCCTTCAAAACCTGGGGCCTCGACAGAGAGCTGGCAGTGAAATGTTGAAACTGACCAGATCTGGCTCATGGCCTGTGCCTCCCACCCCCTTTCTGCCCCCACTCAGCCCCTCAGCACCCCTCCAAGCCCTGCCCTGGCACTCATGCTCTGCACTGTGGCAATACCAGCCTGGCAGGGTTTCTATGCACAGCATGCTCTCGTTGCCCTGCACTGGCCTATGCTGTTCCTTCACCTTCTTGAATCTGGTGAAGTTTACAATGCCCTCATCTCCCTTTCAGGAATCTGTGCTTGGTCAGGTGTAGGTTCTCTTTTGTGAAGTACATGTTTTTTTTTTTTTCTGAGACGGAGTTTCGCTGTTGTTACCAAGACTGGAGTGCAATGGCACGATCTCGGCTCACCGCAACCTCCGCCTCCTGGGTTCAAGCAATTCTCCTGCCTCAGCCTCCCAAGTAGCTGGGACTACAGGCGCGCACCACCATGCCCAGCTAATTTTTGTATTTTTAGTAGAGACGGGGTTTCACCTTGTTGACCAGGATGGGTCTCGATCTCTTGACCTCGTGATCCACCCACCTCGGCCTCCCAAAGTGCTGGGATTATAGGCGTGAGCCACCACACCCGGCCGTGAAGTACATGTTTAGGTATTTTGCCCATACTTTCCACTAGGATGTTTTCTTATTGATTTACAGGACTTTAAAAAATATATTTAGGATACTAATTATTGGTCAGTTCCAGACCTTGCAAATAATTTTGTTTGACAGTGGCTTGTCTTTGCATGACTTTTGTGGTGTTGTGGAAGTTGATCACATGCCTTGGGTCATTCTCATCGCACCCAACTAAAACAGAGTGGGGAAGCAGGGGAAAGCACCCAGGGCACATAGCACTGCTCTAGGAAGGTCATTCTCCGCAGCATGGCTGCTGACGCCTCCTGTTACCACCTGAAGCCAGTCTTTTTTTTTTTTTTTTTTGAGACGGAGTTTCGCTGTTGTTATCCAGACTGGAGTGCAATGGCATGATCTCAGCTCACCACAACCTCCTCCTTCTGGGTTCAAGCAATTCTCCTGCCTAAGCCTCCCGAGTAGCTGGGACTACAGGCGCGCACCACCATGCTCAGCTAATTTTTTTTGCATTTTTAGTAGAGACGAGGTTTCACCTTGTTGACCAGGATGGTCTCGATCTCTTGACCTCATGATCCACCTGCCTCGGCCTCCCAAAGTGCTGGGATTATAGGCATGAGCCACCGCGCCTGGCCTTTTTTTTTTTTTTTTGAGTCTGGTCAGGCTGGTCTCAAACTCCTTAGTGAGTGATCCACCCACCTCGGCCCTGTAAAGTGCTAGGATTACAAGTGTGGGCTACCACCCGGCAGCCAGTCTTATCTGATGGCTACTGACACCACCTGCTGCAACTCTAAGACTACTTTCACTCACTGGAATTCACCAGTCAGAGGTTGCCAGCACCCCAAAACTTTGTAATACCAGTGAACTCTCAAAACAATACCTAACATTTGTATAATGCCCCTCCTTTTTACAAAACCTCCAACCTTATGTTTCTCAGACATGCTGAAGACTGCCCAGTCTGTGTACCTCAAATTGTAATTCATGCTTCCCAAATAAAATTTTAAATTTAGAGATTCATCTCGGAATTTTATTTGACTCTGACAGTGTCTTTTGATGAACAGAAGTTACTTTCTTTTTTTTTTTTTTTGAGGCAGAGTTTCACTCTTGTTACCCAGGCTGGAGTGCAATGGCGCGATCTCGGCTCACCGCAACCTCCGCCTCCTGGGTTCAAGCAATTCTCCTGCCTCAGCCTCCTGAGTAGCTGGGATTACAGGCACGCGCCATCATGCCCAGCTAATTTTTTGTATTTTTAGTAGAGACGGGGTTTCACCATGTTGACCAGGATGGTCTCGATCTCTTGACCTCGGGATCCACCCGCCTCGGCCTCCCAAAGTGCTAGGATTACAGGCTTGAGCCACCGTGCCCGGCCCAGAAGTTACTTTTAACTTTGCCAAATGTATAATTCTTTCCTTCTTTGTCCTTGTCTTGTTCAAGAACTCTTTCTCCCTTCTGGGGTCATGAATATGTTCTTCTATATTTTCATATATAAGCTTTGTAATTTTGCTTTTCAAAAATAGATTTTTCACTTTGGGAGGCTGAGGTGGGAAGATTCCTCATAAGGAACGCATAACCTAGGTCCCTCACATGCACAGTTCACAAAAGGGTTCTCACTCCTATGAGAATCTAATGCTGCTGCTGATGTGACAGGAGGCGGAGCTCAGGCAGAGCTCACTGACCTCCTGCTGTGCTGCCTGGTTCCTAACAGGCCACAGACCCAGACAGGTTCATGGCCCAGGGATTGGTGACCCCTGTACTAATCTGCTTTCTGTCCCTATAGATTGGTCTCTTCTGGACATTTCATATAAATGGAAGCATGTCATATGCGGCATCTTGTGGCCGGCTGCCTCTCCTCAGCATGTTTTCAAAGCTCATCTCTAGCGTAGCATGGGTCAGTGCTCCATTCCTTTTTATGTCCAAATAGGATCCAAGTGTATGCATATCTTATCATTTGTTTAGCCCTTCACCACTTGATGGACATTCGGGCTGTTTCCACCTTTTGCTATTATGAATAATGCTGTTATGAGTGTGTAAGTTTAGTACACTAATTTAACAATAATCCACACATTAGTGTGGATACATGTTTTCATTTTCATGGACACAGATCTAGGAGTGGGATTCCTGGGTCATATGGTAACTCTGTGTTTTATCACTTGAGGAACTGCCAGAGTGTTTTCCAAAGTGGCTGTACCTATATTCCTCCCAGCAGAGGAGGACACTTCTGATTTCTCCACATCCTTGCCAATGTTTGCCATTACTGGACTTTTGTATTCTGTCCATCCTAATGAGTATGAGAGAGCATCCCATTGTGTGAGATTCATCCTTTTGAAGGAGAAAATTCAGTGGTTTTTAGTATATTTATTCCCCACCGATTTTGCAATATCACATATGTCATATATCAAATGAACACTTATGTGTAGCTCTGTTTCTGGATTCTCTATTATATTCCATAGGTCTGCTTGTCTATCTCTGAACCAGTACCACACTATCTTAATGACCATCATTTCATCATGAGTCTTGATATCTAGTACAGCAAATTCTTCTATCTTGTTCTTATTCAAGGGTACTTTTTTTTTTTTTTGAGACAGAGTCTTGCTCTGTTGACCAGGCTGGAGTGCAGTGGCACAATCTCAGCTCATTGCAACCTCTGCCTCCCAGGTTCAAATAGTTCTCCTGCCTCAGCCTCCTGAGTAGCTGGGACTACAGGTGCCTGCCACCATGGGTGGCTAATTTTTGTATTTTTAGTAGAGATGGGTTTCACCATGTGGGCCAGGATGGTCTCAATCTCCTGACCTTACAATCTACCCACCTCAGCCTCCCAAAGTGCTGGGATTACAGGCATGAGCCACCGCTCCCAGCCAAGGGTATATTTTTAAAAAGACCTTTGCATGTTATTGCAAAGGGTTTAAAATCCCAACAGAATTTAAAGAATGAAACTTCTTTTTTTTAAGAGTATAAATCTTAACATGCAAAAAGTCTTTGAAATTTTAAAATCAAGGTCTATACTTTAAAAGCTTCTGGGGACTCAAGATGGTGCTGTGAGAACAACCCAGGATTGAAGCTCTCGGTTAATGGGCGGAGAGGGTGAGTCAGGGCCGCATTTCCAGACAGATCTTTGTTTTCCAGAATGGGGAAATTCCCAGGTATAAAAGAGACGCCAGGCAGAGGTTTTGGCTTGTGCAGCTGGCAGCCGGCAGCCGGTGCGGCGGTGGCCTGCGCTGTAGCACAGCGGCACTACACAGCACTCCGCACAAAGCGCACTGGTCCAGGGGCCCTGTTGAACCGGCAACCTGAGACTTGAGAGGGCTGAACTTGAGACTGAATGGGACTTGGACAGTGAGCCAGCCCAGGAGATTCTAGGGACACAGCGTTTGGGGTAGCGCAGTGAGACAAACAAAACGGCGATTCCAAATGCTCCCGGTGGAGAGGTTCCCTGAGGGTGCAGCTCCGTGTGGGAGGGGCGTCCGCCATTACTGAGGCAATCAGCCCCTACTGAGGTACACGCCCATTGCTGACGCAGCCTGCCATTGCCGAGGCAATCAGCTACAACAAAGAGACTCCGCCGCAGGGCGTAGCCTGTGGCAGCAGGGCGGAGACCGCAGCAGAAGGGCAGAGCCTGCAGCAACTGGGTGAACCTCACACCAGCAGGGCGGAGCCTCGGCAGGCAAATAGTGACTAGACTGCCTCCTAGCTGGGCAGGACAGCACAACGGACATGCACAAAGAAAGCTCCAACCCCCCCGAGACAGAGCATCTGAGAAAAAAAGGTTTTTTTTTTTTTTTTTTATGAATTCTGTTGCAGCAGAATTAAACGTAGCAGCCTAACAGCCCTGAATGAACAACAGAGCTCACAGCTCAGCAGCTGAGCTCCTATAAAGTACAGACTGTCTCCTCAAGCAGCTCCCTGACCCCTCTATATCCAAAAGACTGACATTTGGCAGACATCATTCTGGGACAAAGATAGCAGAAAAAGAAACTGGTAGCATCCCTCACTGTTCTGCAGCTGCTATAGGTGCACCCCAGACAAGCAGGGCCTGGAGTGGACCTCAGCAGTCATACAGCG